GTCCGTGCAGAGACGCTGTGCATTCGCCATTTCATCGTGGAGAGGCAGGTGGGCGGTGCCTTTGCCTCCTCTCCGAGGATTGCGTCTAGGCACGGGAGGCGCTTTCCGTCACTCCTTGGCGCAGTGGCGGGGAAAGTGCAAACGTCATGGTTGGCCTCGTGGTGGTGGTGACGATGCTGTCACCATGACGTGGCGAGGTGGCAGGGGAAAGAGTTGAGCAAGGCCTTGCTATAGCAGAGCTGCGGGAGGAGGTGGCCTTTAGGAAAACGCGGAACGGCAGTTCCTACTGCGGCTCTGAATGCGTGACGGTGCGTCTGGTGGGTCTTTGTCGTGAGAAGCTGGGGGCCGAGGCGAAGCGTCGCGTTGCGCGCGATCGTCTGGCACAGCTAGCGGCGCTGAAGCCCTTAGGCGCAGTTACACTGTCCCTTGCGGATTCCTGGCCCCCTGACGTGATGGGATGAATGCAGAATCCACGCGAGAAGGATCCGGCAACGCCACTCCTGTTGCAACCAGATGCAGTAGACTCCTCAGGACGTGGTGTGGGGGCTGAGGCGAAGCCACAGCAGTGCGTCCAGCAGCGGTGGTCTGCCAGCAGAAGCAATGCAGGGAAAACAGGCCTCTCTCGCAGGGCCCAAAGTGAGATGCAGCCTGCTGGAACATTGATGCAGCCTCGTTTGTTTGTTGGGCGTTGCCTGAAGGGCGGTGTCAGAATGCCTTTTTTTTCCAGCCTCTCCGTTTTTGCGAGTGAGTGAGTGAGTGAGTGTGATTCCTCTGCCCCCTTTGCCACTTGTCAGCTGGCGTTTGCTTTCCTCTTGCTCCTATATGGACTCGCCACCGGCTGCGGTGAGAAGGCGCAGTGGTGTGTCCTCTTCGTGTGCTCCGAACCCACATGCACTGCTCTGCAGACGGCTGCCGTGTCTAGGCTGCTGCTGTGTTGATGATCTCTGGCTGTGTTTTGCGGCTCCTGCTTTGCGGTATCGAAGATAGCATTCTTTTTTGTGTGTGTTTTTGGTTCATCCTCCTCCGCTGCTGTTGTGC